GAGTCCTGAATGTAGTGGGAGCCAGGTAGGCAGGCAACCCAACTCAATCCCTTAAGCCACAAGGTCTTACTACATGTAAAAGGCAGAGGCGCAGTAGGGACAGCGAGCCCTTCCCCGACTACTCAATTAGCTGATTAATCGAAATTTAACATCCCTAGTAGCAAGAGACACTTCTTAAGCTCCATCCAACTGGCTCCACTGAGCACAAGAAGAGGTACTCAAGACACATTAGTTACCATGTGTATCATCGCCTTCTGCTGGTGACACTTCACAGATACCGAAACTTAAGGTTTCTGATATACTGTGGAGTCAGACATTCCCATGAAGTGCCGTGTCCTCAAACCCATAGAGGATGGCAAGCATCATGCTGGCTTGGGCCTTCTGTTTCTCTCACACACACACACACACCCCTGCTTTTCTTTGAGGGTCTGCTGTAGGATCGGAGACAGCATTCACCACATTACAGGGACCAGACCATCCCATTTCTTACCCTGCTGGGGCAAGCTCTCTAAGTGTACGTGACGCATCAGCGCAGATCAATTGCTATTCTTACCATTTTTTATTTGTACACAACTGTGGCATCTTCTGGCTGCTGGGAAACCTGCAAAAAGATCTGGGTCATGAACATCAAACTGAGAAACCTACGTGCCACTTAACAGCTCGGCCACGTGTCACACAGATATAAGCCAGTTCATTATTGGTACAGAAATGACACCCCCCCCCCTTCTTTTAAGATCCCCACCACATTGCTGCCAAATTGCTAATTTAACAGTTCCATTTAATAGTTTCCATATTCTCTACTTCTCAGGTTTCAGCAATAGCGACACCCCCTCCCTCCCAAGGGCCAATATTATAGTTTCCATATTCTCCACTTCTCAGGTTTCAGCAATAGTGACACCCCCTCCCTCCCAAGGGCCAATATGGTTAATGCGAGTCTAATCCACTTTGCAGGGACAGGGGAGAAGATCTCACAGCCCCCCACCTGCCACTCCGAACTCTGGGTTATAGATGACAGGTGTCAGGGCTCTGTAAGCTTAAGGGGCCTGGGTGACTCAGGAAATGGTGGAATGACTTTTCCCGGAAATGACAAGCCAGACTGACTGTCTCAACCCTACCAGTTAGTAAACTAACAGGGTTCCAGACAGATTTATTCCAGCTGCTGGTGTAAAGAAGGGTGTATCTACACTGCACCCTTCCCTCGAAATAAGCTATGCAATTTGTGCTACACAGATTGCCAGTGGCAGCCTGTCCATAGGCGTGAACAAAGTGGTCACTTGGGCACCAAATTAAACAGCCATTGAGGGGTTTGGAGGCGGGGGCGCTGATAGCGCATTTCGCCTAGAGCGCCAGTTGCCGGCAGCTCATCTAGGGCCGCTCCTGCAGATTGCAAAGCTTATTACAAAATAACTGTCTACACAGCACCAAATTTCGAAATAACTCGCTATTCCAAAATGCCCCTTAACCCTCATGGAACGAGGGTTACTAGGACATTGGAATAAGCCAAAATCTATTTTGAAATAACGGGCTGCTCCAATAGACATGGAATAGCTATTTCAGGATATTTCCGGTATCCCAAAATAGCTCCGCAGGGTAGACATAGCTGAAGTGAGCAGGGCTAGGAACAGCAGACATGTTCAGACACAGCAGCATTACAAAAGCCCTTGAAAATTCAATGCCATCTGCTATTTGAAGGCAATCTTCCCTATCTCCCAAGTTACATAAAAGAGTCAGAGATCTGCAATTCCAAACTTACCTATTTTCTTATGGGGTCTCGTTGCAATTTCCTCCCAGGTGTTTGTTTCAAGGTTATATGCGTGGATCTTAAGAAGGACAAAGATGACACATTAGCCATAATTTATAGGGAGAGGCAGCTACTGGTACAAGACTCAATACTGCTCTGGTGCTTAACACCCAATCAGCTCCACGGCTGTGAGAAAGAACTGAGGGTACACAACATATTGGAGCATCAGGAAAAGATCTTCACTGCCAAGAATGAAGCCACTATAAATAACTTTTCACCCTGGTTTTGACACAAAGAGATCACAAAATGTTGCCCACAGAAAATCCAGGCAGAAAAGCACGGTCACAACACAGAAGCATGACAGTATTTTCAGACTGGATTGAACTATTATGGAGTCCCGCAATGGAAGGAAGAAATACATGGAGCACAAAATCATTTCAACTGTGACAAATACGAAGTTTTGGAAAATGCAGCTTCGTTTACAGTCCTCTTCCTGTCTATGAAATGGCATCGAAAACCTATTTCCTCCACAAAAAAAAGCAGACAAGACAAAGCATTTACCATTAGAAACAGAGTATAAATTGGGGGGCGGGGGGTGTTAAGAGACACATCTGAATCCCAATATTTTAATTCCTTTTAATGATTCCAGTCAATGCCTTCTGATTTTGGCACGCTTGGTACCTCTGGAATGATGCTCTAGCAGAACATCATTTTCACACCTGAGGGAATTCGGCACCAAACATAAGAGGAATTCTGCAAATGTTGTAGATAAATGAATGTGGCAATTCCAGTACGGCAGCGGGGAGCACAGTTAGGTGATCAGCCTGCAGTCCCTCTGCCCCCCAGCACGTGGACTTGGCAGTGAGACTGCACCCAATTCCTACAGGGCCAGTGCCAGGCCTGCCCCATAGTTCATGTCCAGCACCAGTGTCTCCCCCACAGTGATTTACCCTCCTGCTGCCTGCTCCGAGGGCCCGAAACAATACACTTGTGCTGCCAGGGCAGGGAGCATGACCACTTGTGGCTTCCCTTTGCTTCCCCCTCAAGAAAGCTGTTTTTCCGCGGGGAAGCAAAGAAATCTGCACGTGACATGAATTGTGCCAATTCCCCAGGAGTACACTTACAATGGGCTCCTCTCCTTTCTTCTGCTTATCCCAATTCTTATCACTTTGTGTCAAGATAGGATGGCATGCGAGCGACGAAGAGCACGTGTCAATTGCGCCCTGCTGTGTCTCAACCCGTACATTGCCAGATGCACAGACTTATTTATTTCCATCTCTTTACCTTATCCAAGGAATAAGCTGTCCAGGAAGTTCCACCTCCCAAGATATAAATCCTCTGCCCATCATGTGCGATTTCGTGTCTGTACCTGAGGGTGCAAAGCCAGGTACATTTAGCATCACAAGCAGCTAATCACTCCTCCATGCGCCAGCACAAAGCTACTCTCAACATGACTAGATTGAGCGCTCAGTGTCTTGTTTTGAAGCAGTCGCCAGTAGCGGGAGTGTTACTTGAGTGCTCTGGGATCTTTCACTAGCAACCCAGGCAGCAAACCCAAACCCAGAGAGAAATAAATAAGGCATCGTTACCACTGCGCTGCACAAAACCAGCTTGACTTTCTTCTGATCTCCCACACCACAGTACAGGATCAGATGAGCGATGGAAGTGTTGGATCACATGCAGATGACGGCCCTCCCCCACACTTCACCAGCTGCATCTGTTTTAGTATTCGCAGTCTAGTTCGGGTGTCAAGACTTAGGCTTTTGCTACCGCTCTCATGGGATCCATACATGTGGCTACAGGTTGAACCTCTCTAGTTCAGATCTCTGATCCGGAAACATCTGTGGTTTGGCATGATTTGAGTTAGCCAGATGTCTGCTTTCCATGGGCGTGGCCAAGTGTCCCAAGGTCCCATACAGTTGTCCACAACTGCCAGTCCTGGCTCGCAGTGTTCTGTGTTATTTAGCTCTAATTTACCCCTAAATGTTTTTTTGACGGCCCAGTAAGCAGCAGGAGTGTTGGTAAAGCTGCTAGACTATATTGACCTTCCATGGTCTAGAAAATTCTCTGGTTTGGAACCGGTCAGGTCCCGAGGGTGCCGGACTAGAGAGATTCAACCTGTAGTACAATTAAACATGTCCATTAGCTCTTTCACCTTCTCCCACTTTCAAGTGCAGCACGTTCGATACTCACAAGGCTCTCGAGATAACCTGTTTGCCATGAGAGCAGAGAGCCTGTTCAGGTTTCCACATCGCGTCTCTCCTAAGATTGCTTTCACAATATGCTTCTTAGGATAAACTAAAGCTCGCAGGAAACATAAAAACGTCTGTCTCTCACCTCTCCTCTGGCATATCACAGTGCATGTTGTTGGGTTTCAGTTGTATCCATTCCCTTGTGTTAAGGTCTAATTTATGTAGATCTGTGCTATAAATGTAACCAGTTGTTCCTCCAAAAACATATAAGGAGCCATTAATGATAGCCATCGCCTGGAAGAGAAGGAAAGCAAGCAAGCAGGCTTATTAGAAGGGATGTGTTAGCACAGTGCGTGAAGAAAGGTCAACAGAGAGAAATCTCACCTTTCACTCTCTCCTCCTGGGGAGGTGGGTGACCTAAGGCAACGGGAGACCCCTCCCATCCCCACAGCAAGCGAATTAAATGCTGCAGTTATGCGGCTGTAGCATTTTAAGTGTAGACACCACCTTCAAATGACAGCCAAAAGCAGAAGGAAGGAACAAAAGAACGGCCACACTGGGTCAGACCAACCGTTCATCTAACCCAGTGTCCTGTCTGCCGACAGTGGCCAATATCAGATGCCCCAGAGGGAGGGAACATCAGGTAATCCTCATGTGATCCCTCTCCTGTCACCCATTTCCAGACAGAGGCTAGGGACGCCATTCCTACCCATCCTGGCTAATAGTCATTGATGGACCTAACCTCCATGAATCTATCTAGCTCTCATTTGAACCCTGTTAAAGTCCTAGTCTTCACCACATCCTCTAGCAAGGAGTTCCACTGGTTGACTGTGCACTGAGTGAAGAAAAACTTCCTTTTCTTTGTTTTAAACCTGTTGCCTATTCATTTCATTTGGTGACCCCTCATTCTTATATTGTGGGAATAAGTAACTAACTTTTCCTTATTCACTTTCTCCACACCCGTCGTGATTTTATAGACCTCTATATAAGGGGAGGGGGAAGACACTAAATAAAACAATAAGCAGGTAGCTTAGTGCTGGCATTCCCTGCAAGCTGTGCGCTTGTGTGACCACTCAGGAGAGATTCCAATGTCACCCAGCTGATTAGCAGAGCGCCCGCAGCTAGGTTTTGTGTTTCTACAGGTGGTGCACATAAGTTTATTCTTCACATGGATGGAAAAGATTAGAGGGAACATTGCTTAGCACATGCATAGCTTCTAACTCAACTGGGGCAGAGTTGCACCCCACCCATTTGGGCCAAGAGAAAGCTACTCAGTAAGGGTTGTCTTTTGCCCCCCCTTCTCCGCGGTTACACTTGGTACCTGTCCATATATTCGATTTGGTTTCTTCCCTCGGCAGCTGAGCAGGGCCCATCGCTTGTACTTCACATTGCAGACATGGACGTCATTGCCGTTGCTCTCCCCAAACGGGATCCCGGTGCCCCCAAATACCAAGAGGTTGTTCCCATGCAAGACAACTAGGGGAAAGCAGCAGAGAGTTGGGTTACGTTCGGCTCCGGAAGAATGGAAAGGGACTGCGCAGTTGCGTCTCTGCCGAGAGGACAAAGAACCAACAGTTCACGGCGGCTTTTAGGGAAGTCGGAACACTCTGCGGTTAGTGCTGGTCACCTACAGATCTTGGAGAGCTGCGCAGGAGACAGGTGTGCATGCACAGGGTAAGTGTCTGCATGCCAGGGGGATGTGGGCCTAAACTGTCAAGGACATCTAGGGATTTGGGATGCTTATGAATAGGGATGTGAAGGACTAGTCGGCTAGTGCTTCCTCCCCCTTGCTGCCTCTATCTAATAGAGGCAGCAGGGGGAGAGGAGAAGAAGGGGTACTTCAAAGCAGCAGCGCCACTTGAAGACTGGAGCCAGACCTTGGGCTCCACGAGGTGCTGACACTTAGAAAAGCCAAGTGCAACTCAGGGCCAGCTGGGGTGTCCCCAGGCTGCACGTGGCATTTCAAAGTGGCAGTGTCGTGTGGAGCCCAGGATCAGCTGGGAACTTCCCAGCTGACCCCAGGCTCTGTGCAGCACTGTTGCTTTGAAACGCCGCAGGGAGCCTGGTGTCAGGCTCCTCATGGCATTTCAAAGCAGCAGCGCTGCGTGGAGCTCGGGATCAGCTCGGGACCCCAGGCTCCACGTGGTGCTTTCGCCTTTGTAGGGCTGTTGCTACACTTCAAAGGCAGAGCCGCCCTGTCGACTAATCAAATAGTGGATGCAAAATGCATCCACTATTTGATTAGTCAATTATCTGACACTGAACATCCTTACTTAAGAAAGGGCTGATTTCCAGCAAGCACTATACACCCGTTCTCTAAAAGTCAGGCCCCTTCAAGTCGTCCACGCTGAATCTCTACTGTGGCTTTAGACTGACAGCCGGCACTTTCACCTCATCCGCCAACTTCCTAATCAGCATTCTGAAAGAGGACGACTGACCAAAGACACAGCAAGGCTGTGGGAGAGCGCACACACAGCACAGCTCTCTCACTGCTCTGGTTACACACGCTGTCTTTCCACAGATGGACCCGCCCAGCAATAGGGCGTTCTGCTAGAACCGACTTCACAGACAGTACTCACGTGACATGGATGCTAGCTCTCTGGGCATGTAACCCTCGGTGCCCATTTGATGCCATGTGCCTGTAGCAAAGTTATATCGCCAAAGCTCCCTGAAGAGAGGGTAGTCTTCATTCTCTGGCCCTCCAGACTCATCGTAATCCGGGTTATACCCTCCAAACACGTACAGGTTGGCGTTATCGGCTACACACCGATGGCCGCTCCTTGCTGGTGGGGCTCGGTGACCTACAGGAGGAAGTTATTTTTACTAAATATATACAGAAGGTTTGGGTAGCCAAAGAAGGAAGGAACAAGGTTTGCGGGGAATCACAGGAGGATGCTGCAGTGGATGAAATTTCAGCTTCCAAACAAAACAGATGGCATTACACTGCAATGCTTATTGTTGGGGTGTGCGCGTCATGCTAAGAAGTTGGTATGTCCATCTCTCTGCGAAGGTCTTCTCTCAACAACTTGCCTTCAAGGACCTGCATATCCAACATCTCATCCTACACTACTCTAGTCGTCCTGGCCTTGCCTATTCAGATGCTGTCTTATGCACAGGACAGCCCTTACAACCTTTCAAATCCTCCTGCCAAGCTCCCGGTTTCAGACTTCATTCCAGACACGTCA